TGGGTCGCGACCCATAGTTTGGGAAACGCTGGACTAGAGGAAAGGTAGCTAGTCAACACCACCCAACGCCCCCTCTTGAGGTACTCTTTTTACAGAAGTGTAGTGGGGTGGGAACGCGTGGGCTCAGCGTATCTATACTTTTTAACCGGAATGCCGTACCGCTACTATTTTGAACGAATCCCCACACGATTATGCAGTAAGTTTCATGTTCCGGCAATACTCCATTGGTCTTTTACTAACGAAAAGCGGAATTCACTATTACATTATAACGTCCCACGGCTGAAAGGGCGAGTACTGCCGGTGAAGTGATTGTAACCCCTAACTAGCAGAGTACGAGCCGAATTTCTTAACCACCAAGCCATGTCAGGCCATAATTGAAAAGTACAAGTGAGTGTCGAAAATTGTATCCACACGCACGTACGCATGGGGGTTCGACCGAACCCCCTATTATTGTGATGTAAAAAAAAACAAAAAACACTGCCACTAAGTTCATGTCGATGTGAACGTTTAGAATCTGCTCTCCGCTGGTTGAGGTGTACACAAACTGGAGAAATACTGAGTGTTCTAGCTTTAATATATGATCATTATAACACTAATATCAACGCTGAACCTGTATGTGAGTTAAATTCGATGACGATGAGCCCACTTTGAGACTAATAATGGATGGAGACAAATGGTTGGATGATGACAAAACCTTGTCGAAACGTTGTACACTTGCTGTTATGTTAAACTTATATTAAAGTTTTTCTTCATTACCCATTCAAGCCGTCTCCAACCATTATTGTATGTGAGTTATTTACGGAAAACCACAACAGAAGAATAAAACATGCTAACATGTTATTTCAGTAATGCATAGGTGTACGTAAATGATAGCCGATGATTAAAATAGGTAATATACTATTGTTGTACAGAGTTGTTTAAATTAGTAATATAATTTAACAATTAATAATTACTCTGTATCTAGATAGTACAGTACTTTACTATAATGCATGCTGATTGTGCTTCGCACAATATGTTTTGGCTTTTGATCTCACAAATTAGAACTCCTCTTTCAAACATTCTGCGTACTGGCCTGATCCATAAAAAAATTATGTTGTTTGATAATTGTGGATCTTAACCTTATTTTACAAATTTACTATTTTATGGCTTCATTATTCTAATGATGACAAATAGTACTTCATTGTATAGACTTTATAAATGTAAATATTTAGGGTTATGACAAGGTTCATCGATGACGAAGGCGGAAGTAACGTGATGCTGCTGGCGCATGCGTGACTGAGTTTCTCGAATTATCAGGGAACTCCTCGAATGTTGGAGACGCCTCTTTGTTAGTATATAAGCCTGGCAGAGAAAAGCCATGGGATGATGAATGTATGATAAAGCGAACAGTAGTCGTGGTGAGTTTCGAGTAATTTACGATTCTGTTTCCAGCTAGTGTATGTTTTGCACTCGTAGAGGGTGAAGTTATCGAGATTGTGAATCGCTGTGATTTATAGCGTGTATTATAAACCACGTTAAGTTGAAAGTGACGAGAAACGTACTGACCGTGGAATTACTGTGTACTAAAAGTTTGTATCGAGAAAAATAAACTGGTTTAATCAAGAAAGGACTTGTATCACTGAAGTTCCATGGAAAAAATTTCTACCGGAAATCAAACTACGACTTAGCAGATTTGATGGCAGCAATACAAGAAAAGCAAAATAAACTAGAAGAAAGAAAAAAAAAAAAAGAAAAGAGTCTACAGCAGTGGTTG